GTGGGGGGTTGGGGGGGTGGGGTTGGATAATGGGAGAGAATAAAGATGGTATAATTGCACTCAGAGTAGCAATGCATTACAAAGAACAGGGGGGAAAGCTCATCAAGTCATTTTATCTGATGCTCACACTCGTCTAGTTTATTTCAAGATAATACTGCCACTTATCAACTGCAGATGTGTTACAGTTACTTAACCAGCCTCAATTCTGGAAAGTTCTTTGTCGCGCTTCTTTGTCCAGCTGTGGTTTTGAGAATGGCAGTGCTAGAATATGGTGTTTAGTATCACAGAATAAAAAAACGAGGAATTCATTTCAAAGGAAAATCACTTGTGTTACAGTAACAGACAAGAACACTTGAACGTACTAACACACTGCTTTGGTGCACCATCACTGTTTTCACATCTTGTTGCTGTATTTTCAGTCAATCAGTCAGCTAGTTGGCCACCCAAATAAGCAATCAGGAAGCCAGTTAGTCAGTCAGCCATTTAGGCCATAATTTAACCAATCCAGTAGTTAGTTGGTTATTTGTCGGACCATTAACCAGCCAATTACTTGATCACTGACTAAGTTGCTTTCTGCATTTCTTGGATGGGCTCAGTGAAGTGTTTCCAGTGTTTGGTAACTTTCACAAACCTTCTTTGTGGTAACATAAAAAAAACAAACATGTTCATTAGCAAACAGAGGTGGCTGAAATTGATTCAGGGAAATCTTTACATGCCTCCCCCCCCACAATAATCTATTTATAAACACAAGCCAAGTATTGATATTTTAGTCACATTTGAAGGCTATTATTGGAAGGCCACACAATGATTTTCTGTTAAATAAAAAAATGATCTGAATTTCTGAACAGCCTCAGACATCATCTGGCAACTGATTGATGTGTTTTTGCTGTAATTGATGTTGACATACAGTAATCCGGTGTGTTTCTATCAGGTCGTTACTATGGTTAAAAATGAATACATTATAGTTTTGTACTCTAATACACAGAGCATCATGACACAATGAGAATGATCATATTGCCATTTTGGGTATATCACACTACAAAGAAATAAAATTATATATTTTTAATAAGAATAAATTGTGCATGGTTATTGTAAAAAGTTATTGCATGACCCCAATTTAAACAACGTTAGCCATGCTCTTCCCTGGATCTGTTGTCATCTGTTGCTTCACTATAAGAACGACCTATGTTTCGTGGCCTAGGTCCTTTCAGTGATCCAGATACTGTACATGGATTGATCTGCATTCACCTACACTACTGGACAATTCACATAATAAAAGCAGAACAATTTAATTAAATTCAGCTCAGTACTCTTGCTCTTGTCCTCTCTCAGCTCATACTGCACACTGAATTTTCTCATTGCATATTTAGGGAACTTTCTCTGTGTGTCTGTCTCTCCATCTTTGGGCAACTCCTGGAGCTTTTAGACCAAACTCATTAGAAAGGGTGAGACCTCTTTAAATAATATATCTCCACTTACACTCCCTCTGTGTCCTCTCTTCTTCCTTTTACCACTTTCTCCCCCCTTTTTTCTTTCCCCTGTAACTCCTTACACTCCTCGCTCTACCTGTTTTTTTCATCCACTCTCTTATTCTACCTTCCTCCCACCTCCTCTGTCTATGTCTGATTTACTCTGCATTTTTCTCTCACCATTTCTCTCTGGCTCTCTCTTCTGTTCCTGCTTTCTCTCTCTCCTCACACACACACACACACACACACACACACCCACACACACACACACACACACACAC